ACATCTTGTCGATTTCAAGAAGAGACTCGAGGAGATAGAAGGAGATGATGAGGGTGAGACATTAGGCATGGTAGACCTACGTGAGGTGCTCTCCAATCTCCAAGCTCGAATGGAAACGGTTGAGAGGTGTGCCAAAGAGAGCGCCGCCGAAAAGGATGCCTTCATAAAATGGACGAAGGAGAGGTTCGAGCAACATCGAGAGTATATGACCGGGTATGAGCAAACTCTTGAACAACTTAGGAAAGATCGGGCAAATTATCGAGAAGCTATCTCGAACGATGTGGTCTTAAGGGACACGCCAAAAGTTGAAGTGCCAAGACCAAGGCATTATACTGGCAAGCGAGATGCCAAGGAAGTGGATAACTTCTTTTGGCAAGTAGAGCAATATTTTGAGGCAATGGGCGTGGCCGAGGATAGAAGTCATGTCAAGATCGCTACCCTCTATCTTTCGAAGGACGCTACTTTATGGTGGCATATGAAGTATCAAGAGCTCAAAGAGGAGAATCTAGAGTTGCCTAGTTGGGATGAATTCAAAGAAGCCATGTATGCTCAATTCTACCCCAAGGAAGCTGATTGGGAAGCACGGGACAAGCTACGAACATTGAAACATATGGGAACTATTCACGAGTATGTCCGAGAATATCTTTCACTTAAACTTCGGGTACGTGAAAAACCCGACTATGATCATATGTATGATTTTATTAAGGGACTTCAATCATGGGCACAATAAAAGGTGCAAGGTCGACGGCCTAAGACTTTCGTCGAAGTCGTGGCCATGGCTGAATCCCTAATTGAATATAACAAAAGGGCGTAACTCTCTAAGCCTAAGAAAGACTTCAAGGAAAAAGTGAGGGAGCATATGAGAAGAAGGGGTATAGAGATGGGCAAGACAAAGCACATAAGTTCAAGAGCTTTGTCAAAGAACATGATAAGAGAGAATTCAAGCCCAAAGGTTGCTACTTTTACAATGAGCCACATCGGTGGAAAGAGTGCCCGAAGCGATAAGCTCTCAATGCCTTAATGGAGGAGAGGGAATGTGCCTCCGAGCCCGAGAAGCATATGGGATCGTTGCGGCTTCTCAATACCTTGAATGTCAAGCCCTCACCTAAGGTGCCACCAAAGGATGGGCTTATGTACGTGGATGTGGACGTGAATGGCAAGGTCGCGCTTGCCATGTTAGACACGGGAGCCACACATAATTTCATGGCCGAGGATGAGGCCAAAAGACTTGGCTTGGTGGTGACCAAGTCATCAAGTAGCATGAAGACCACGAATGCTTCCCCTAAGCCTACTTATGGCGTAGCGTATGGGGTAAGGCTTGGCATAGGCGCATGAAAAGGGACGTTAGATTTCACCATTATCACAATGGATGACTTCAAGGTTGTGCTAGACATGGAGTTCTTTAAACAAGCGAAAGCCGTGCCTACACCTCACTTGGAGCAAATGGTGATCATGAAAGAAGAAATGTCATGCATGGTGCCGACCAAGGTGCACGCTAAATGGGACTTGAAGCATCTATCGGCTATGCAAGTAAAGAAAGACTTCAAGAGAGAAGAAGTCACATACTTGGCAACTTTAAGAAAAGATGGGATGGTAGATGATGAGAGTATAGAGATACTCAAAGAGATTGCCAATGTATTGGTCGAATTTGATGATGTGATGTCATCCGAGTTACCCAAGACGTTACCACCTAAAAGAGAAATCGATCACCAAATCGAATTGGTGTCGGGTGCCAAGCCGCCAGCCATGGCACCTTATCGAAAGGCCCCGCCCGAGTTGGAGGAATTGAGAAAGTAGTTGAAGGCCATGTTGGAGGCCGGACAATTATAACCCTCCAAGTCGCCTTATAGCTCGCCCGTGTTGTTCCAAAAAAAGCACGATGGGTCGTTGAGAATGTGCGCGGACTATCGGGCATTAAACAACATCTTATAGCTTACGAGAGCTAAAAGCTAAATGACACCAAACGACGATATTCGATGCAAGAGAAGGAGATGATCGCGATGGTGTATTGCTTGCGCACTTGGAGACACTACTTGCTAGGGTCCCGATTTGTGGTGAAGACGGACAATATAGCCACAAGCTACTTTCAAACTCAAAAGAAGTTGACGCCGAAGCAAGCTCGATGGCAAGACTTTCTTGCCGAATTTAATTATATCTTTGAGTATAAGCCGAGCAATACCAATGTGGTGGCCGATGCACTTAGTAGAAAGGCCGAGTTGCATCACATGATGAAGGTGGATGGAGAGATCGTGGCCGGAATCAAGGAAGGAGTGGAGCATGATCCCATTGCTAAGAGTTTGTTGAGCCTTGCAAAGGAGGGCAAGACTCAAAAATTTTGAGAGGAGAATGGCATTCTCTACACAAAAGGGAGGAGGATTTATGTACCTAATTGGGAAAACCTCCGATGAGATTTGATGAAGGAATGCCATGACTCGATGTGGGTTGGACATCCGGGACAACAACATACTAGAGCCTTCATTGGAGGGAGCATACTTTTGGCCACGGTTGCGTGATGATGTGGAGTCCTATGTGAGAACATATTTGGTGTGCCCGCAAGACAAAGTTGAAAATCGAGAGTCACGGGGTCTATTGCAACCTTTGCCTATCGCGAAGAGACCATGGGAGACAATCACCATGGACTACATAGTGGCTTTGTCGAAATCGGAGAACTTTGGGAGCATTATCGTAGTCGTGGATAAGTTCTCCAAGTATGCCACTTTCATATCAACCCTAGCGGATGTGACGATCGAGAACACCGTTAAGCTACTCTTCAAACATGTGGTGAAGTATTGGGGCGTGCCGCGATATATAATCGGTGATCGAGATCCTCGATTCATTGGGAAGTTATGGACGGAGTTATTTGAGTTGCTTAGGCTCGAAGCTCCATTACTCCATAAATTTTTACCCTCGGACGGATGGACGAACCGAGAGGGTTAACGCCTTATCGGAGACATACTTGAGGCACTTTATGAGTGCCAACCACCGAGATTGGGCTAAGTTGCTAGATGTTGCCCAATTCTCCTACAACTTACAAAAGAGTGAGTCCGCTGGCAAGAGTCCATTTGAGATTATGACGGGCCGGCAGCCTCTCACTCCACATACGATGGTGCTTGGTGACAAGTACCAAGGAAGTAGCCTAAGTGCATATTCGTTGGCCAAAGAATGGCGGGAGCGAGCGAGACTTGACGTGAATGTATTTGAACAAGGCTCGCAGAAGATGAAGAAATGGGGCGACAAGAGACGAAGAGATGTCACCTTCCAACCGGTGACAAGGTGATGCTGAAGTTGCTACCACAACAACATAAAGCATTTTGAAAGGTGCACAAAGGCCTCATACGACGATATGAAGGACCATTTGAGGTAGTGCGCAAGATGGGAGAGGTTTCCTATCGCCTAGAGTTACCACCGAAGTGAAGATCCATCCGGTATTTCATGTTAGTATGCTAAAACCATACCATGTGGACGAGGAGGATCCAAGCCGAGGAGTGTCTCATAGGACGCCAACGAGCGAGTGATTGACTCGTATGACAAAGAAGTTGATGTCATACTTGATGATCGTATAATCGGACGTCGTGGAGTGCCACTAAGGAAGGAGTACTATGTGAAATGGAAGGGATTACCCGATAGCGAGGCTAGTTGGGAACCCGTTGAAGCTTTGTGGCAATTTGCACGGAAGGTCGAAGAGTATAATGAAGGCACGCCGAGGACGTCGTCGAATTAGGTGGGGGAGAGTGTTACGCTCCGCCTAAAAGAGGGATTTTTCTAGAGATTCTAGATAACACTAGATAAGTCTAGAAGCTTCAGAAGAGTATAGAACAATGGAGAAGCCTCTAGATAAGTCCGGAAGCTTATAGAAGAGTATGGAACAATGGAGAAGCCTCCAGATAAGTCCGGAAGCTTCAGAAGAGTATGGAGCATTGGAGAAGTCTCTAGAATGATCTAGAGAAATCGAGAGAGTCCCTCACTAATCTAACATGTACATATCTAGATAGTTTCTTGTAAATATCTAGATAGGATATTTCTAGAGAACCAATTGTAACTATTAGATTAAATAGATCCTAGCCATCCATTGAGGAGGTGGAAGGCTATAAATAGGTGAGACCCTCACTTGGCCAAGACACCTAGATATTCACAAACTTAAGAGAGTGTGTCTTTAGAGTTGTAGGTTTTTAGAAAGCAATACAAAGAGTGTTTATATCTCTTATGTGTGTGTCTTTCTTGCTTAGCAACTTTGTGTGAGGAAGGTCGACTTGATTTGTCTTAGAGAAGAAGAGAGCCAAGTGCCGCACGTGAGCTTGGGAAAGGCCAAATCCGTGACATTGCGCAGGCTTGGTTCTTCGAGCCTAAGAGCGCGTATTTGGTTCTCCAAGGCTAAAGACATAGGCCTATATTGGTTCTTCTTTCTTCTTCTTGGTTTTCCTTTTTTTTTTTTCTAGTAATTTATTATTATTATTATTAAATTTTGTTTAAAAATTATGAAAGATTGACTACTCGGGTTTTTCATACAGCTCAATGAAAAAGAAATATATATCATATGTTTTCATATTTTCTAATACATATATATTTCATATTATATTGTTTTTATTATTTAAAATTTATTCATTTAATTTATATTTTTTTTAATGAAAATTCTCATCTAATTAATTTTTAATATTCTTTTTTCATCAAATTTTATATGCTAAAAAATATAATTTATTTTTCTTCGTGTATATTAGAATAAAACTTTAGAATATGATTATTTTTTTCAAAAATAAATTAACATAATTTATATGATGAATTTTTTATAATTTTTTAAAAAGAGTCGAATGGTTTATATATATATAATCTAAAAATTAAAAAGGCATAATTTTTCTCGTATTTAAAAAAATAATTAATTAATAATTAAAAGTCAAAATAATAACTCCTATGAAATTTCCGGTCTCTAGCTGTAATGAGCGTAAATATAGATAACTTCTCCGATTGAATAAAGCTAACACTCCTAGCAGTCTAGCACCATTATACTAGGAGGCACGCTGACATTTTGCCATACAAGATCCAAGATAATACAATTTTTTTTTTTGGGGGTCCAACCCAATTTATAACAACGCCCACCAATCTAGAAAACATTAACAAGTTTCCTATTTAAAATGAATGACAGTACAATTTGAAGGGAATAATGTCACAAAACAACCAAATTCACTAATAATAATGCAAGAAGAGATCGCCAAATCCATAGCATCTAATGAGCAGTAGAGGAGTAGATGATACATTTCAAGTCTCACACTTTCTTACATTTCTTAGGCACTGCCATTAATGGTTCAGATTTACGCATTGCAACGCCCAACTTATCTTTCCTGTCTATACTGGCCGGTTTGACATTAGCTTCAAGTTCCCAGTCAAATTGGTGAAGCAATGACCCCAAAATAAGGTGAAGGACTCGATGAGCTAGTGGCACACCTGCACACATTCGTCTCCCAGCTCCAAAAGGGATGAACTCAAAATTTTGACCTCTATAATCAACTTTTGATCCAAGGAACCTCTCAGGCTTGAAACACAAAGGATCATCCCATGCATCTGGGTCTTTTCCAATAGCCCAAGCATTAACTAGAACTTGAGTGTTCTTGGGTATATCATATCCCATGAAAGTGGTGTCTTGCATTGCTCTTCTTGGAATTAGGAATGGAATTGCAGGATGCAATCTTAGAGTTTCCTTCACCACAGCTTGTAGGAATGGAAGATTGTCTATGTCACTCTCTTCAACTTTTTTGTTTGCTCCAATTACCTGAGCAAGCTCAGCTTTCACCTTGATCATGGACTCTGGGTTGCATAAGAGCTCCGTCAATGCCCATTCAATAGTACTGCTTGTGGTTTCTGAACCGGCCAAAAATATTTCCTGAATTGTAATTAAGACCATATGCAATTATGCATATCAGGAAATAACTAACAGTAGTAACCTGAATCCCTAAGAACACGAAGGAAAAGACAGGAGTTGTCTCCAAATTATACATGGAAGTCAGTATCAAATCAATAGAAAAATGGAGCTATTAAACTTCTACACCCACATCCATATGGAATGAAAAAAGGGCATTTTCTATGATCTTTTTTCCTAAAAAATTTACCTTTTTTTTTTCTATGATTCTCCTCTGGAAAAACCGAAGTCATCATAAACTTATAATATTCATATGCAAATCTATCTTCATCAATAAGGAAAATTGATGAAAACAGTGGTAAAACTGGATAGAAACTTTACCAGTATAAAAATGTTGAGTTCCCGGTCTGAAAGTTCGGCCGGTTCATCTTTTCCAGTACCTTTAAACTCAAGCAAAACATCTAAGAAATCTTTCCTCGAATCACTTGCCACTTTCTTCTCTTCCACCTTCTCCTTCACAAACCTGGAAGCAATCTCCATGGCCTTCCCAAGATCCCTCTCCATATTTTTCCTCAATCCTTGAAGATCTAGCCACCTCAACCATGGAAAAAAGTCCGCCAAATTAGCATGCCCTGACCACTCCATTAGCCCCAGCATCGCCTCAAAAAATTCAGATCCCACCTTTGATTCTGGATCAAATAAATCACGTGAAAGCATGAGATTTCCTAACAAATTAAATGTCATCAAGAACACAAACCGTGCAACATGAACTCCAGTTGCCTGCCCAACTCTACACGACTCCTCTTCAATCCATTGCAGCATATCATCAACACATTTTCTACGTACATAAGTTGTTTCATTGATGCGTTTGAGTACTATCATGTCTACAGTGACCAACCGCCTGAGCACTCGCCAATACGAACCATAAGGTGCAAGGGCCAGGGAGCCTTGATTGTAGTCATGGGCACGCATCGTTTCCGTTATGGTGCGATCAGCAAATGATAGGTCATGGTTCTTGAAGAATTCAGTAGCAGCCTTAGCTGATAGAATTACCATGGTGTTCATGGAACCGAGTCTTAGCCAAATAATATGACCATACTTCTGTCTCATGTCTGTTAGCGTACGGTGCGGCATTGAACCAAGATCGAACAAGTTCCCGAATATTGGCCATCCTGATGGCCCCGGAGGATACCGTTTTTTGCTGGACTTTGCTCGGAGGAGTAGTAGGAGGAATAGGACTGCTAATGGAAAAAGGCTAAGGGAAATGGGAAGATTTGCAGGCCACTCCATGGCTAGGTATGTTGAAATGAGCTCCACTTCAGTTAAATATAGGCATCACTAGCTAGGTACCATTAAGGTACTACGTTAAGGTTAATCATATACAGACAAAGAGAAGCAAGTTAGAATAAGAACTGCGGCCACAGGATACCAAAACATAATGATCCTGTCCCAGATACATGTGTCTAATGTATAGAACTGGATTAATAATCTATATCATATAACGAGACAAAAGGATTCCTCGAGATGCATGGAGAGAATCTGCTTGTAAGAGTCATTGGCATCTTTTTTTAATTTTACGCATTGACAACTACTCTTTAATGGAGTTTATTTTCGACCGTATCTAGAGAGAAAACCGATGTGCCGATTGATTAGCCCATTACGCTTATTCTTTAGAGATTAGAATTCAGTGTACCATAGAAGCTTCTTTTAATTGTCTCAGGATCTTACTTGACGATATTTGTTTTTTTGAATGACCAATTTGTAATTTTTAAAGGTTTTGTCCCTCGTTCTAATAAAAAAAAAAAAAATTGAAAAATCCTTTCCAAGGATACCTTGGCTGTGAAAAGGTTTTTTCATACACATTGACACTACTCTTTAATTGAGTTTATTTTCAATGTTATATTAGAACTCAAATTTTAGAAAAGGTCCAAAAGAAAAAAGTGTAATTCTAAATTTACAACTTGATTTTCTTAAAATGACTAATACAATATTTTTCATCGATATTTATTATATTTCATTTTTTTTAAAAAAATCTTCTTCAATAATGATGATATTGAGAGGTTATAATAGTCATTTTCAAAATAAAATAATGTGAAGAACAATTCTTATAGTAAATTTAGCACTATTAAAAAAAAAGGATTAAATAATGTGCCGTCAAAGACATGCTATGATCACAATATTAGGATAATATATGCGGAACATATTGATCAATGCTTAATTATTCACTGATAAAATATTCCAATCAATGTGAACCAAACACAAGAAATAGAAAACTAAGGGAGGGAGGCGTCGTTTTTACTTTTTTTTTTTTTTTAGGTTTTAAATTTTTATATTTTTTTTTAAAAAATTGAAAATTTATTTGGTTGACTAATTTTTTTTAAGTGTTTGTTTTCAAAAAATACTCTTAGTTTTAACTATGTATTCAAGTTATTGAAATTGATCTTTGAGCTTTCCATGCTCGAAACTCGAATGACCATGACTTGATCTTGAGTAGCCATGGACCTAATTTCGGCCCAACACCTTAGAGCACTATATTCGATCTTGGCTCAATCTTCGATGTTCAAATCGACTGCGGACCCAATCTTGCACACCTCAGACTTTGCCCTAGTCTGCACCATGAGCACTCTAGGGCCAATCTCTAGATGCCTAAAACACCATCCTGGCCCAAACCTTGGGCACTCTTGAGTTGGTCTCAGACTGCGCCACGGATGTCCTAGACCCAATTTCGCACACCTCAGACCAAGCCCTAGCTCGTACCGTAAGCGTTTTGGGGTCAATCTTTAGACGCCCTAGAAACTATGTTGGCCCAAACCTTGGGCACCCTTGAGTTGGCATCTAGCCCAATCCTAGATGGACCTACAGGCACTCTAAAGCCTAATATTGATTCTGATCCGAACCTAGACTTAGTCCCAAACCAACTCTTCGAGTGATCCTAGAGAGACTCACAATTATTACAAAGGTGGTCGTAAATGGAATCTCGGGTGTCGCAGATCAGATTCCAACCCAAATCGTAGACGCCCTAGACCACATCTCGGTATCAATTCGAAATGCCTCAAACCATGTCTCGATTCAAACTCAAAAGATGATCCATATCCATTTTTTGACTCTTGAATTCGACCAAACTCCCAAAATATATTGTAATAGCACAAAAACCTAGTTTGAAAACTTCTGAAAATCATTTATTTTTAAAGAGTAAATTATAAATTAGTCTTTTTAATTTCAAAAAGCAAATTAATTCATTCTTTCAATAACTAATTATTGAATCCCTTGATCAGTGTTAACCATACTTAATTTAATATCATTTTATTTCAAAAAAAAAATTTCTCATCAATCTTTCCACATTATTTTTTTCTTTTTTCTATTTTATATAAAAAAACATAAAATGATTAAAAATGATTAAATAATTAGTTTTTGAAACAATAGAGACTAATTAATCATTCTCAAACTTAGATGGACTAATTTATAATTTACTCAATGTTAAATAAGGTAAAAAAAAATTAAAGGACCTGACCATTTTAACTTCAAAATACAAAAAGCCCAATGGGCCTGTTAAACGGGTTTATCCAAAGCCAGAAGAGCAATACGATTTATAAAACCAACAACAGCGTCCCCTTTATCTTCTTCACCAAAACCAACAAAACAAAACTATGAAGCAAGGGCTTCTCCTATGGAGTCCTTGCCCTCACTTTCTTCTCTCTTCGCCTTCAGTTCGCTTCCTTTACCTCTCAACTCCAAGAACCAAACACACCCTTTTCCCAATAAAAGCAACTCTTGATTCCAGAACCACTCATCAAGAACAACAACAGCTAACAGCAAGAGAGAGAAGGCTACTCAGAAACGAGAAGAGAGAAAGCAAAGCTGCATATAATTGGCGAGAAGAAGTTGAAGAGAGGCTTATTAAGAAACCCAAGAAGAAACCTACAACTTCTAAGGCCGAAGAGCTCAATCTCGATAAGCTTGCCCTCTTAGGCCCACGATGGTGGATTGTTCGGGTTTCTAGAGTTAGAGGACATGAAACTGCTGATGTTCTTGCTCGGTTAATGGCTAGGAACTTCCCTCACATGGACTTTAAGGTAAGTTATGGTATAGTAATATATTTATTCTGCTACTTATAGTTTTTTTTCCTCAAATGGTGCTGTTTCTGCCTCGGAAAAGAACCTAAATTTGAATGGGATTGACATGCTGTTTGTTTTCTTTTTTCCTTCTGTGAATTATCTGCTATAGAAAATAGGCTGAACTCAATGCCATGTTCTAGTTGATTTACTTTGAGTCCTTTTGATTGTAATTGGTTACATTGAAGTATATTCTGTACGGCATTGTCTCAATCTTGGTCTAGATATTAGTAGATATTAATCACTAACACCATGGTTTTAATATTTGTAACTTTAGGATGCTGCTTCATTTCTTGTGTGATCAAATTTTGAAATAATAGCAGTTAGTTCATTGGGTAGAGATTATCTTTTGCTGTATTTATTACTTAATACAATATTGATGGTTAAGAAGTTTGCACAGGGATTCTTGTAGTTTTCTCAATGCACCATTTTTTTTCCAGGTTTATGCTCCTTCTGTCAAGGAGAGGAGAAAATTGAAAAATGGTACCTATTCAATTAAACCAAAACCCATCTTTCCAGGGTGTGTTTTTCTATGGTGTGTACTAAACAAAGAGATACATGATTTTATAAGAGAGTGCGACGGAGTTGGTGGTTTTGTTGGTGCCAAGGTTGGAAACATGTAAGTAATTACTTTCTTCCGTTTACTTCTATCTGCTCACACCAATCATTTGTAATGTTCATGCTAATTTTAGGTAGAGTAATGGTTTTATCATCTAACTCTAAAACTGTCTCAGGTAAGAGCTTGGTCATGGAAATATTAACAGGGATATGGCTGGGGATATAGAATAGTTTTCATCCCACAAAAATGTATCACGAACTTCACCATTTGAATTAGACCCTGTGTGTTGAGTTTTAATTGAAGTCTGCTGGTTTTATGAATTTAAAGTCTTGTATTGAAAAGCATAATGATTTTGAAGTTATGCTATCATTTTCTGATCCCGAAAAAAGGCGGACTGGAAGTTGGACCACTCTTGGACCAAATTGTTGCTGATATATAAAGCCGGAAAGAGGGTTGTCTTCTAACAAGACATGAATGGTAGTAAAAGTCTGGTATTTGTTCCAAGATGCTAACTTCTATTCTAACTAGACATGAATGTTAAAGTGCATTCTATGACTTGGGCTTTTTGTCTCTACTTGATGTTGAATATCTACATAAACAGTGTGTTATTACGTATTTGTGTGCTTCTTATTCATATTGACTAGAAACCATTGTTCTCTTGCACAGAAAACGACAGATCAACAAGCCTAGGCCAGTATCTGATGATGACATGGAGGCAGTCTTCCGACAGGCAAAAGAAGAACAAGACAAAGCTGATAGAGCTTTTGAGGAAGAGCAGCAAGCACAGGGAGCCCTCAACTCTGTAGATCTCAATAACGTCACACAATCTATAACAGATTCCAATTCCAAAATGGGATTGAGAAAACCTCTTGTAATTGGCTCATCCAGAAAAAAGGATAAGCTGCCCAAAACAGGTTCAACTGTTAGGGTCGTATCTGGGACTTTTGCGGACTTTGTTGGCAGCCTTAAGAAACTAAATCGCAAAACTGGGAAGGTATACTCTTTGGTGCTTGAGTTAAATTTCACTTGCTATTTTAAAAGACCTCATTAGGTTCCCATGTAATGTAATAATTAGTAAAATGACATACATATGAATAAGCTCCATATGCATTCATATCTTTTATATTCATATTTATTCAAGAAACCAAACATCTGGACAATTATTGCTGTTCATTGTTTCTGTTGCTGCTGATACCAATGATTGGACCTTGTTTGCTTGTGTTTTGGAACTTAACACCAAACCACAAGACCCAGGGAACATTGGTCAAGAAACTGAATATCATTGCTCATAAAATTGTATTCTTGCAGGCAACTGTGGCGGTTACACTCTTCGGCAAAGAGAGTGTAGTAGAATTAAATCTCAATGAAATTGTAGCAGAGATGAAATGATGTAAATAACTGTTTTCTCCTGATATCCATTGAATGGTGAGTTTTAACAATTTTGTTAGATTTTCCCTCGTCAATGATTGTTTCTTCTTCTTTTCCTATACAAATTGTAGTGTGTAATTACATAGTCGCAATCTCACAATAATACATCAGCATCCGATTATGCAACATGCACTGCTTTAAATATGAAACATTGGAAACGTGCTGACCAATGTTTGACTTGTTATCATTGCATTGGCCATGATTCCCCAGAATATCTAAATTCATATCGGTTCTTGCTTTTCATGTCAAAAGCTTATATAATACTTGTCTTTGGTTAATACCTTCTCAAAGATCTCTGTATTATTTTTCATCTTGGATTTACTTTCAAATGGTTTGTGGCCATGTTTAACACTGGACAAGAAGTGTGTTGGACATGTAGGGTGCCAGTTTTGCCAAATAGGGAAAAATGTCCAACAGAACGCTTTGGTATTGATCAGAAAAATTTTGACCAAAATACTGGTGGTGTACTTATCTAGAGATCAACAATTTTCCTGAAGGTAGAATAGCTGCCTTGCCCCTGATGGTGGTTGGAAAACAGTTCTTTTCGAAGACTTTAATTGACACTGGCATCCATCAGAATCACCTACCTACACAGCTAGAGAAGACATAAATGTGGAAGCATGTGAGTTTGCTTTGTCCATTCAACTTCCTTGAAATCAAACTTTTGTAACCAGGCAAATCTCAGCTACCCTGGTTCAAAACAGAATGAGCTCTTTTGCACTTTGCTTTATTAGGCTAATTTGTTGAATGATGGGATTTTAGTAAGAATTCTTTGTTTTATTGTATTGCTGCTTGCTGAATTCATGATTGTCAGTCAGAATAACAATCTTGATCATATCAGTCAGGAGAAAAACACAGTAAAATTGTTAGGTTTATAGATGTACACAGAGAATGTATCATATTACAATTTCATATGACAAATATGCAACGACAGAATACATTTATCCTTATTTTTCAGGAAAACCAGGGAATGACAAACTGTTATGGGGTTTGCTACAATGGCAATGGCACTATTGCAGTTATTCAAATCCAGTAGTTTATCTGATATGGACATTTTACTTTGCCGGCATTCTAGAATTCAACCACTGTCGTGCTGATGGATATAGTATGGCTGTAGCATTTAACAATTCAAATGAGAAATCTGCAAGGATGGACTAAATCCGTCCGTTTTTAACGCTTTGCTGATTTGCTGCATGAAAGGATTTTTAGGCAAGAGGTTTCTGTTTCTTATTTTCTTTGCGTTGCTTATTGCTGAATTTAGCCTCTTTTTTAAGGAGACCAAAGTGGAAAATGCCATGAAGTACAGCGTAGAGGTAATGATGTGTAGAAAATCGGTTAATAGTTGCATGGGTTCTGTACTCTTTCTTTTGTATTGATTTTTTTGTTTTTCGTCTTAAGTTCGTTTTTTTATGTTCAGTTTTTGTTTTAAGTTTGTCTTTCTGTTGTCTTTTTAAACTGCCAGTGCAATTCCAAAGCAGTAGATAGTAATGAGTTAGTTTGGGCTTCATAAGTAGTCTTAAAGCCTTTCGAGGATTCCTAATCGGGTTCTGGGACTACAGTTTTCGAATTTACAAGGTTGATGCATCAAAACAGTCCACAAACTTTCAGAGAACCCTAATGAGTCCAAGAACATTTTTCTCTCAACTGGTTAAACGGCACTGCTCCATTCAATTGTGGCTGGGTTAGATTTAGGCCTGGCATGATTAAAAACAAAAAAAAACAAAAAACCAAAACGCCCATGTGTTCTTAAGCTCTTAGCAAGTATCAAAGTCAAATGTAACTTAAAATTCTGATTTGAAAATACAATTATCCTTAAGTGATACTAGATTTAGACTGGTGGGGTCTAAAAGACAATCCAATGATTCATAAAAAATAGTGTATTTCGGCATTCATTTAACGCGAAAGATAATAAACTTAGTTTTAATTTATATAAATGCTAATACGATAATACTCATTATTTGAAATATATATATATATATATATATAAGTTAAAATTATAATTACAAGTACAATTTGTTAGGCTATCTTTTTTAATTTCTATCAATAATTCGGGATGTAGTCTTCCCTTAATGGATCAGGCCAGCACTTCTTATGAGAAGTGCACACTTTCTCATTCGCAAACCAGTGATTATGACAGAGCACATCTTGACAACGAAGTTAAAAACTAAACTTGGACTTCCTCAATCTAAGAGGAGGAACAATAAATCCAGCTCACCTTTTTCTCTCATGTGTTCTTTTCCATGAACATGGTGCGCTTCAATGACTGTCCTAACCCACATTTCGTGGTCCTTTCCTTACCTATTCTCGTGAAAGTCTTTAAAAGGGCCTAGACTCTAGAGAATTAAATGTGAGAGAGCATCTACGTGTGATAGTTATCCCTAAATGGCATTGCCTTTCCCTATAGCTGCAGATCAAAGCGACGCCTTTTTTGTTCTTTTCTCTTGATAGGTAGCTATCTTTCCTCTTCGGCAGTCACAAATTTACAAGCTCATAAATTAACTCAGTCCCACTCCCACCAAATTGCATCTAGCGAGGAAAGAAGCGTGGCTTCAATTTTCTGGGAGCAAGCTAGATTAACACTGTCCAATCTCTCCATTGGTAGAACAGGGCTCTGATCGTTATAACTATAATTTGGGTTATAGTTGTAATTGTAGAAAATTATGAGCAATTATTTATGAATAATTAAAATTAAAATTTTATTTTGGTTAAACTAAAACAATTTTTTATTATTAGATCATTTTTTTTTATGATATAGGTTTGAAGTGGTTTGGTTTAAAACTGACTAATTAAATATTAATTTAATTCAAAAAATAATGAATTTAATTTCAAAAAATGTAAAAACACTCGATTACTTATAAAATCATATATATGTGTGTGTGTGTGTGTGTTTTTGTAAAAATATTCCATACATAAGAATCAAAATTAAAATGTTTTATCATACTTAAAAGCTCTAAAAGTTTCATTTTATAATTTTTTGCATTTAACTTATCTTTCAAAACTGCCTTTTTAAAAGCTAAGAGAACATGTTTGTATTGGTTTTTAACCAAAAAAAAAAAAAAAAGAATACACCCCAAAAACTCAAAAAAAGACTTAAATTAAGATTTACCCAATAATTGTTTTCCATTTGACATCTTAATAGAATCTTTGTATATATATTGGAAAATGCTCTTCATTGTTTTTTTTTTTAAAAAAAATCATTTATATTCATATAACCTGCAAATTTTATTTTTATTTTTATTTTTTTTAAAATTTCCATCATAGGCATTTTGGTCCAAAAACATTTTGTGTTGTCTAAAAAATTGACAAAAACACATATTGAATACTTATATATTATTCAGAAATATAATAGATTTAATTAGGAATATAGAGATAAATTAAAGACTTAAATTATTATGTATGAATAGATTGAATTATTTATCCAATAATTATAATTATGTCATTGAATTTTCTTGCCTACTTTCTCTTAAGAGATTTAAATTTGTATTTAGCCTTTTAATTTCTGTAATTAAAAATACCAATTTTGCGTGATTCATGAATAATTGAATTATTTATCCTATTATTATTTCATTGAATTTTCTTGCCTACTTTCTCTTAAGCAATTTAAATTTGTATTTATCCTTTTAATTTCTGTAATAAAAAAATACCAATTTTGCGTGATTCATGAATAATTGAATAACAATAACACTAATTACCTTCAAAACAAGAAACTAAGTATTACGTACTATCGTTACATAGAAAACTTAGACAATTCCATCTGTTTGATTTGCCCCCAGTTAAAATTCATGAGAAAATCTATGCAAATCTCTAAAGAGACACGACTTTTCATGAATGAACTTTCCAAAATTTCTAAGAAAGAAGGAGATGGATGGAATCTGAGCAAGAAAAATATTGCCATCTTTTAAATAATCATGTGACCATGTATCTATAAGGCAAAGATTGAGTTGAACCTAAGGGCTAAGGGCCCATGGCTACCAACCGAAGCTTCTAGCTTCCAATATTAGCCACTGGGTCACAGTTCATTAGAGTCACGAGGTCAGTGGTCCCATCCTCCGGCAAAAGTCACTTCTTATGGTTCCAAACTTTGTCTTCTCTGCGATGAAAGCAATAGCACACCACGAGACCTGGCAACGGCATTCCAGCTTGCCTTCATTTTGCACCCAATTACCCATCTCCTAAGTTCTGACCACGACAAGCTTTGTAATTCCCTTTTCGAAAACCTACTGTACTATGTTTTAAAATCAAATTACCACTTGCTAATGTCATGAAATCTTCCCAAGGAACAGGAGAGGAACCAGAAATTAGGATTGGAGATGCCAATTGGACAATACATAATTTTTTAGGTGCAAAAACATGTATCTTCTTTAAAATAAACTTTAAATTGAAGGGTATAATTAAGCAGTTTCAAAAGTTCAGGAATAAAATGTAAAACAAATTCAAATCTTAGAGATGCCATGGTTCCCATCCTTCAACATAGGTTAATTTACCCCCACTGTCGGGGAAGAAATCGCATAATTAGGGATCATTGAGAAAAAAAAAGGCCATGATGAAAGGAGCAACGAAACGAGTAAGATAACGATACCAATCGTTTCAACTATTCCAATTTGTTTTTTTATTTTATTTTATTGATAATTTAGTTTTGATATAATTTTTTTTAGTTATTTTCAAGTAATATAAGAAAATAATATAAATTATATTCTAAAGCCTCATCTAACCATTTAAATTTTTGGATTGAAATGATCTTTTAACATAATATCGTAGTTTTAATAACTAACGATCGTAATTCATTCTTATTTTCTTTTAAAAAAGATAAAATTGAATTTTTTTCAACAAATACGATTTTAGAATTTAAATCCTACACATTAGTAAAAAATAATCTAAAAATCCATTATTTTCAACAAATTTACTTACTCGCTAAACCAATAACTTATTAATAATATTAGTATCAATTAAAATTTAATTATAACGATCAGTATTTTTACATCAATCAAAATTATATCATTCAATAAACAATTTGAAAAGAACACTTGGCACATCAACTTGATATATTGTATTAAGAAAATATTTTTTTTCTGAATACTAGTTCTAAAAAATGGAGAACAAAAGCAAACTCTATTTAACATTGTTCAAACATTAATCCAATCCCTTAAAGTAGGGAGCCCACTGTACGAAAGTCATGATAAATGGCATCCCAACATTAATTTTATTTTTCTAACAGAGAGAGTAGATGGCCCTTCACCAAGCAACAAGAGCAGCATTTACAATACAAGGCTAATTCTGTTCACGGTGAAATTCGATTCTAGGGAGAATGTACACAAGAACAGCACACAAGAAACTTTCTTCTAAGAGAGACAATTGTCAAAGTCGAAGGTTCTTTAAACAGACCACTTAGTTTAATGGTTTTTGGGACCGTGTTTTCCTCTATTAATTGGCTCTCTTCTACTTTATTTTTACCAAGAAGACAAGAGAGCACGCGCATATTAGTTTTTGCCTGAAAAGAGTTGGATAAAGTAAGCACGATATTGTATGGCACCACCAAAACTCGACACAACGCAGCATTACCCATCATCTTTTATCTTATTTTCATGTGTGTTTTTTATATGTTGGATTAAGCCAGCGAGGTTGATGTATCAACACCCACTGCGCAAGTTAGTGGTCCTATGAAGAATCCTTTGCTTTTTTTTTCACCCCACTATACTACTCTACCGAGTAAATTATAAATTAGTCCCTCTCATTTAGAAAAATAATTAATTAGTTTTTTTTTGCACTAATTATTTAGTTCCTCACATTCTGATTATGTCAAGGATGTAGTCTTTTTATTCATTTTTTGTTAAATTAATAATTTTTATTATCAAAAATTGCCTTTTCTTTAATTTTTAGTTGAAGAGAGAGTGGATGAAAACAAAAAAATAAGGCATTACAGAAAATACAATTTGAGAAGAAAATCACTAATAAAATGATGAAATTAAAATCTAAAAAAAGAAATGATTAATTTTTAAAATGAGAGAGATTAATTAATTTAATTCTGAAAACAACAGGGACCAATTTATAATTTACTCCTACACTGCACTTCACTTTTTGGTAAGATATATATATATATTCAACAAGAAAAAAGAAAGGACTCCTAAAAAATAAAGAAGTGGGCTTTGCTTTGGAAGAGAAATTAGGGCAAAGTATATACAACTCGCTAGCTGGTTGGCCCAAGTGTCCTTTTAGAAGTCAGTTCAAGGAAAGACAAAGGTGCGTGGATGCACTTGAGAGTACATTTGAAGTCTGTCTTTTGAAATAATTAGGGTGTCTTGACAACTGGCTTGCTTTTGGCTTTGCTTATTTTTTGAGTGCCCACCTATATATGTTTTGCATTATTTCTTCTTTTATCACTTTACTTTTGCCAATATGCAACAATGATTCATTCGCAGACAATAATTTCACATTCCACCCTACCACTGCTGGATTGTTGTATATGAGTAGCTGAGACTCGAAACTATTTTACTAGAATCACTAAAATTTAATCTTGCATTCGAGAATGATCATTCAATTTTTAACAACTTTGATTTGCTTTTCGATTAATTGAAACCAAAAAAAAAAAATTAAAAATTGAACCGAATAATTTTTAAAAATTGTAATTTCAATTTAAACCAATGTGTGTTTATATATATATATATATACACACATAAACGTGTATTTTTAAAAATAATATAAATAAATTAAAAACATCATCAATCTATCATCTATTTATAATAATATTAAAATATTAATTTTTTAGTTTATTTTTATTATTTTAAAAATAAAAAAATAGTTTTCAGTTTAAACTAAACATAAAAATTCAAAAACTAAACCAAACTGAAAAATTAAAAAAAAAAGATCGATCTACTTTGTTCGGTTTTTAGTGGCGCTCATCCTTATGTGCTTTGCTGAATATATAATCAATAAATAGTTATACCTGCTTGATTGAAATCGAAATCTTAAATCTTCATTGATTTCTCTGAAAATTGTTAAGAGTAATAAAGTCTATTCATTCATGATAATAGTATCTATATAATCGATGACGTAGTAGTGGCAGAATCTTGTCCAACCTATGAAACTATGACATTATTGCTCCTTACCAACTACAAAAGGAAGGAATTATGCTTCCAAAGAAAAAGAAGTAATAATTATATGAATGAATTTTTAGTATAATCCATGGATATTTGATTGCCCATTAGAACTTCTATGGAATAATGGAAGTGCCAAAAAAAAAAAAGCAATTCATTTGCAAACTCAATTAGAGCTAGGGGTACGGCTGCAATAAGCCATACTACAATTTTAATATTCCCGCACACAGTAGCCACTCAGAGAAACTGAGTCAGAGAGTTTCAGAACAGATTAAACGTATTTAATTTTCACAACCTCCAAGCCACCTTCCCCATGTTCTTTACTTTCCTTCTTTGGTTTCTACATTCTGCAACCCCCAAAAACAAAAATAAAGTCACCTACTTGTAAATGGGTTCACCTCACAAACCCTAGAAATCACACTACACCAAGCAAACCCAGATTCAACTGAAGAAACCCAGTTCAGCCATGGCCAAGCTCTCCATTTCTACCTACTTAACAATGCTAACTTTCTTGATTTTCCACTTGAAAATGCTAAATGCTGACTCAAGTTACTCCTTTTCCTTTGAAAGCTTTGATAAAAATCTAAACTTTGAGTCCAACATTGCTCTTTATGGTGATGCAAAGGTTGTTGGTAATGGTTCTTCTCTTCAACTCACTCACTCAGTGAGTTCAAGTGCTGGACGAGTCATATACAAGAAACCCCTCAAGCTTGTTGAAGGTAATCCTGGAAATTTGGTTTCTTTTTCCACTTATTTCTCATTCTTGATGTCACCTGATAATGGAGATGGTTTAGCTTTCGTTATGGTTCCTAGTGGTTTTGATGTAAGGGTGTTTGATAACAACCCGTTTGGGCTTTATTTAGGATCGGAGAAAAGTATTCTTAAATTTGTTGCTGTTGAATTTGATACGATGAGGGATGCTAAGTATGGTGATTTGAATGACAACCATGTGGGAATTGATGTGGGTGGTTTTGTATCAGTTAAAGTGAGAAACGTTTCATCTAATAATATTGTTTTGAATAGTGGAAAAAGATTGCATTCTTGGATTGATTATGAAGCAGGTTCGAAAAGATTTGATGTTAGATTGAGTCAATCTGGTGATATAAAGCCAATTGATCCATTGGTCTCTCATCCAATTGACTTGTCCAAAATGTGGAATGATGAGAAAGTGTTGATAGGCTTGAGCTCATCAAATGGGAATTCTTCTCAGACATGTTTCCTCCATTCATGGAGCTTTAAGGCAAGGCGTGTCCCGCATTGGATGCATTCTCAGCCACTGGATCCTCAGGCTTTTGCTAAACATGTGAAACCAGTGGTAGTTCAAAAGAAGAGTGATTGTATTTTGAAAATGCTTGCTGCAATGATCTTTGGTACCGCTTGTGGAGCACTGGGGGCATTCATGGTGTTGTATCTTTGGACCATATTTGGCAATAGGCGCCCTGTCGTGCCTGAAGACTGTTCTGTCCACCCAGCGGAATTTGAATACAAGAAAGTGAAAGTAGTCGTAGATGAAGCCGTCAAAGATGGCAAGCATTAGGTGCTTGGGCTTTAGATCTTTTGGAGGCTTTTTGTTGTAAATTCCTGTTTTTCCCCCCTTGTTTTAGCTGGTTTTGTTGTGTTGTTGTAACTGATAGGTAATTGTCCAAATGTAGCTGGTGGCATATTGTCTAATTATGGGAGCCTGAAATTAACTTTTAATTGAAGAAATGTTTTGTATTAATTCATTTTGTGAAGCCCTTTTCGCTTGTTTAATTTATCCTTTATTGTGGCTTGTCTTTGGTTTATCCAGCATATCAAGTGACCAAAAACTAGATTCATCCTATCAACTTTCACATTTTCTTACTTGCTTTGCTCTTTGTTCCAACTTTCTAATTGTGATGAAAGATGCACGCAGACCACTGGATTCATTGCCTTTTAGCACAACAGAGCAAACTATCAAATCTTAAAGGCACATGCTATTGTAGTCATTCGTGGTGCTAGACTAAATTTATATAGGTGGTGAAAGTCACATCCCAAAAACTTCTTTGCTATTGATGATCTTTTTTAATGAGTGAAAACTGAAAATTATCAATGATAACCAGGCAGTCAATAACTGTGGAGTTCCGCTGAGTTAAGATTTTTTTCAACAATAGCATTTTATCTCTAGATACTGTATAAATTGTTGCCAGATTTGGCTGGACTGAAAGCAGTTGTTTTACTATGTTTGAGAAATGTGAATGGGAAGCAGATTTCTGGTATTGATTCTCTGTGTCTCGTTGCTTTTACTCTTAAACTTTGCTAAAAAAGTGAAACCTGTGGAATACTGGTATTTCGGAAGAGCAGTCTTACGAGAATGTTGCTATGATCTTTGGTACTGGTAGTGGGATACTGGAGCAATTGTTAGCGTTATCAATGGACTATCTTCTGACAATAGGCATCCATTGGAGCCAGTGTTTCTCACACCTACTTGATTTTGAGCGCAAGAGTAGCTGTAGGGGGCAACCGTGGATGTTTGAGATGAGGTTCTGGGTTCTGTTGGATTTTTTTTATATTGTAGATTCATGTCTTTTCCGTGCTTCTTTTCACAGATTTTCTTGCATTTGTTGTACCATGATCGAGTGATCAATTGTAGTTTTTTGTTACATACTGTTGAATTGAATGATGGGAGCTTTGGTATTTAACTTCAGAACTCTGAAACATTTTCAAATTTTATTCTCAAAACTCTGTATTGCTGTGGGGTTCTGCTTTGATTAAATTCCTTTTGTGAAACCTTTTTCTCTTGAGTTTTAAGTGGTTATTGATAAAACTGTCATATTTAGGTCCTTCTGCAAAATTATTCATTCTTGCTTGTGATTGGCACGTTATAATGCTTTGGAACTGATTTATGAATCTCTGCAAACTGCAAGTTTCTTATGCTTCTCTTTAAGGACTGAACTATGATAGACTCTTTACATCTTTGATAGCTGCAAGCTCAAGGGCTCCCTTGGCATTTTGCACATGTTTCCTAGGGTCAACATACACATGCAGGTTTATTCTTGTAGAGATGAGCTCTCGCGGGAGTTTGGTGTCAACACTTGGATGGGTAATGGAGATCTCGATCAAAACAACCCAGGGCAATTTTGAGGGCTATTGATGGTTTTATAGGGCTATTGATGGTTTTATCGTCGTTTGAACCTCATTTGGGCATCTTTGATAGCCAGTAGAGGTTGTTTGGAAACATGCATCTTTTTTATGGCACTTTTTTGTGGTGATATCATTCTTGTTCTTGAAAAGACACTCGGTGATTTTACTTTTTCTCTTTTGTTCGAAAACCTTCTAAACATTCGTTCCCTTGACATTTTGTTACCGCTTCGGTGGAACCATGAAAGGCGAGAGGAATGCGAGCAGAGGAGTGTAGGCAATAAAGCTTAATAGGCAAGATAGCTACGAGTGGAAGTTGCGAAGGAGTGACAGTAGACTAGTAACGGTCACTTGATAAGGTGGTAGGGGTATAACAACTTGCTAACTTGGCAGTTGGTTATAACCAATTAGATGATATGGCACTAATTAGTTAGGTTGTTAGTCATCGGTTAGTATTAATAACATGTAACGGCTAGTTGAGAGGATTCATTCAAGGAAAAATACAAGAAAATCATTTTCCGGAATTCTCTCTCATATATCTCTTCTTCTTCTTCCTCTCCCCTAAACACTTCTTCTTTTTCAACTCGGCTTTGTTAAGCAAAGTGCTTAACAAATTGGTATCGAGCTTTCTTCGAGATCAATCATGGTGGATAACGACGAGGCTTAGAGCTTTGGAGGAGCACAATCAAAGGCGAGTAGGAGCAATTATAGGGATTTCAAGAAGGTGTAGAAGAATTAAAGAAGGAGATGCGGGAACGGAATCAACGGACTCGACCTCGATTGGAAGCTCTCTCGAAGACAATCTAGGCATTGACGGCCGAGAAGGAGCATCGATCATCTTCTAGCTCTTCGAATGGTTGGAAATGCGACTACGAGACCCACACGAGAAGGCAACAACGGTGAGTCCTTGTTAACCCACGACTTTGGGAAAAAAGGTTATAATTCTTCAATACCTAAAGTTGAATTGCGGTAGTTTGGTGGTGAAAACCCTAGGGGATGGGTTCGTAAGTGTAGGAAATATTTCAAGATGAACTTTATTCCCGTTCACCGGTGGGTAGAGGTTGCTTCCATGTATTTAGAAGGCGTAGCTGAAATCTGGTTTGAAGGTTTTGTGGTTAGACATAATTTGGGTTATTGGGAGGAGTTTGTAGGAGAAATTTATAGGAGATTTGGCGGTAGGGAAGATGTGGTTGACGAATTTAATAAACTCACCCAAGATAGAGATGTAGAAAGGTATGTTGAGAAATTTGAGGAGCTCAAATCCTTGATGTTCTGCAAGTAATCCTCACCTCCCCGAGTCTTACTTTGTGTCCAGACTTTATTAGTGGACTCAATGAAGAAATTAAACACATGCTTAAGATCCTACAGCCCCTTACCTTAATACGAAGCCTTTAAATAGGCTAAGTGGCAAGAGGAATCTGTCATCGCCTTGTCCCCGAAGAACAAAGTGCCTCCAAGAACCATTTATCCTTATAATAACACCGGATCTTCCTCAAACCATTACCAATCCTATAATACCACTAGACCACCACATAGCTAATACCATAAGCCTATTGTGACCTTCACTAAGCCGGAAAACACCGAACTTTCATAAACCTACAAACACCATACCATCAAAACCTCGACCTAAAACCGTACATGATCATAGATGAAGAATGGGCCTCTGCTTCGGTGAGTAGATAAGTATACTCCGGGCCATCAATGTGTTAAGAAAGCATTGAATGTGATGGATGGAATGGAAGGAGATGGTGATGAGTTTATGGATGTTGAGGAAGGATGGGATGCGAGAGGAGGAGTTAGTGGAAGAAGGACTGAATGAGGAGACAAGATTGTCCTTACATACATTGGCGAGGAGATATGCAAACAACACAATCAAAATTAGAGGGTGTTATAGGTAAAAGGAAACCACCACTCGTCGGTAATGGTAGCCAATGGGGCTAGCATGAGATGTTCGATAAGGAGCCCGACCTTAGTTTGGTTTATGCGGGGTTATGAATTTAGGATCGACTTGAGGATATTGGAATTGGGGGGTTGTGATATAGTATTAGGAGTAGACAGAGCTAAGGATGTATTTACCGGTCTTGTTTGACTTCATCAACATGAAGCTATCTTTTAAGAGGGGTGGCGGAATGATTGAGTTGAAGGGAGTGACGAGAGGAGGCTCAATTACAAATGATCACGATGGATAAAGTCTATAAATCCCCGAAGACAACTCGTATGTGGAGTAATTGGCCGAGTCTTTTCTATTACGGCTCGAGGGGATTCGAGGTGGTGGACAACAAGAAGATAAGAGCCTTATTCGTTGAGATATGATGAGGTGTTTGCTGAACCAAGAACCTTGCCATCTAGGAAGGGATTTGACCACGGAATCCTTCTTACACCGACGAGTGAAACCAATCAATATCGGACCTTATGAAGCTCATTTATGGATAAAGAGGAGATTGAGAAGTTAGTTAAGAAGATGTTACACAATGGGATCATTCAACCCAACTTGTAGTCCCTTTGCATCCCCAGATCTGCTTGGTAAAGAAAAAAGATAGAACATGAAGGTTTTATGTGGACTATCGACAACTCGAATAACATCACCATCAAGAACAAATTCCCAATACTTTTGATTGATAATCTGTTAAATAAGTTATAGGGTTTAGCATTGTTTTCTAAGATCGATATGCGATTGGGATACTATCGAGTCGGAATGCATGAGGCGGACATACTAGGGGCATTATTAATTCAAAGTCATGCCCTTTGGATCGACTAATGCCCCAGCTACATTTTAGGCCATGATGAACTCGGTCTAGAACCATATTTGAGGAAGTTTATTCTTGTCTTCTTTGATAATATTCCGATATACAACCTTATATTGGACTTACATATCTAACATTTGGCTAGAGTGTTGGAAGTATTATTATGGAACAAATTGTATGCTAGGAAGTCTAAGTGCACATTCCGCCGGACGTAAGTAGAGTACATGAGGCACATTATTTCGGGAGCGAGGGTAGCTATCAACCCGAGGAAGACAGAGGTCGTGAGTAGATGGCCGGTTCAAAGTCGGTCGGGGAACTAAGGGGTTTCTTGGGGTTAGTTGGCTATTATAGAAAGTTTATTCGTCATTATGGATTGATTAGTAGACCATTGACACACCTCTTGAAAAAGAATAGCTTCCGAGTGGAATGAGCATGCTCGTGAAGCCTTTGACCAATTGAAGGTCGGATTATGCATAGCACCGAGTACTAGTCTTGCCCAACTTTCATAAACCTTTTATTTTCGAAACGGGTGCTTGTGGCGGTGGTGTAGGAGCGATGCTAACTCAAAAGGGCAAACCGTTAGCCTTCTTTAGCAAGGCTCTATGGTCTAAGCACCAAGGGCTATCAATTTATGAGCGAGAGTACCTAGCCATTCTCATGGCGAGTGGATAAATGGAGACACTACTTGGAGGTG